TTTGTTAACTTTTTATTATTAGGTGGAAATGTGGATAAATATACCTTCCTGTTATTTAAATATAATAGACTATCTTCTGTCATTGTATATTAAAGACTATTTTTAGGGTGAGTTTGGTCTTATGAAGTCTGTAGAAGTACAGCTTAAATGTGTTTAAGTGAAGTCCTCTTGATGTTGAACTACCAAGATCAGATTATTAGCACTGGATTTACCAATTAATTCACCTCCCAGTGTATATTTGTAGACAGGGTCTTTGATTGATAGATGGATTGGTTGCCTAAGATTCAGTTCACAGGGTTGGGACAGGTTGTTTAATGGGTAACTGTGAACATACAAGAGCTTCTTGGAAGGGGGCCGGACCCAAAGCAGAGATGAACTGAGAGGAGAGCCTCACCCAAGGAGAGAGGCTGAGCTGATAGACAGGAAGACAGGGCCACAGGCCAGTGCTGAGGAGCTAGGGGAGCTACAAAGAGAAAGAACAAGCAGGATGTTGGAGCTATGAGGACAACTATCAGATGCAGTGTGCAGAATGTTTCAGGACCAAGACCCTTTTCCAAAGTAGAAATAATAATTGAGGTGGAACAATTGCTAAAAGAGAATTAACAACTCTAAAAACTGGTATTGGCTCACAATCTATATAAATATTTCAATTTTAAAGCATATCGTGTTTAATTTAAAATGGCCTTCTGAAGGAAAAAGCAAAACAGAAAACCTTTTAACTTTGACAGTATTCTTTCAATAGAAATAATTGCATTTCTTTGAAGAGAAACAAATCTGAGCTTCTTGTCCAAAGAAATCTTGAATTTGCTCATGTGTTTCCAATGGCTTTTGGCACATAGCATCGGCTCTCTAAATGCCTCTAATAACTACAGTAAATGTCTCTATGAAATTCGGCACATCATACAAACGAAATGTTCCTTCTTGTGTGCAATTCCCATTTACTTTCAGAAGGAGAAATTCCAGATTATATACAAAAATTGATAAGTTTGCCAAAATATCTAGGTATATAACCGTCAGCTACTGGACTACAATTCCTTAATGTTAATGAAATACAAAGACAAAGAGCTGACTTTATGCATTTATTTTAATAAGGCTGTGAAAACAGTCCGTTTACAGTGTACAAACCCCTTGTCTTTTAAAAATGCTAGACGGAATCTTTTAATAAATTAAATTTATCTGCCTGTCAAATCTGTCAAATTGACAAGAACTCTCAAGGAGTATTGCTGATGTTGTAGTTCTACTTTTCCAGTAGGATTACATTTGGAATTTAATAAGGGCTGCTTAGAGGAAGAATATCCATCAGAGTAATTTTAAGTAACAAATATTTAAGTCTCCAACCTTATAGCACCACAATGATTTTGTTTCCTTTGAAAAACCTTTTATTACTTACAAGAGTGTCCTGAATATCATATTTGCTTATAATGATGAAATAATGTAAGGAGACAACTAAGTCTACATCATCAGAAGAATAATTATTGACATTTGCTCAGAAATGTGTAGCTTACATAGTCAATTGTCCTCATGACCAACCTTGTGTCTATCAGGTCTTACTGTTTCCAGCATACAAATAGGGGCACTGAGGCTTGGAAGGGGAAAAACACCCAACTCAGTGTCACATATCTTGAATTTAGTAGAACCAGCACTTTAACTCAGGGGTTCTGATCAAAACATTACATCTCCCTGAACCTTATAAGATTTTCTTGGAATAATCAAATGTCTCCCTCCACCTTTTTCTTATAGAACAAAACTCATTTAACGTTTTCAGTGAATGCATGGGAGTATTTATATCAAAGTTCTAGTAGTGGCCACTTAATGAAGATGAGCTCTTAATTTTTCAAAATGATCTACCTTAGAGAGGTAGGTATCAGGGTATTCAAAAAGGCAAATCCATTCAAACCCTGGACCAATTGTGTAACACACACTAATCTCCTATAATTGATGTCCAACCTCCTGGAATGAAAGTCTCAAGTACATGTTCAAATATCAAAATGGAAAGAAGCCTCAATTTTCAGATTCCTTTGTTTTTCATCCTCAACTTTAGAAACAGAGGTGCATCTGTTGGAAAATAGTCAACACATCTGTGTTGGTAACCAGGGGTCCAAGGTAATTCTCAAAGGACTTTTCATTTATTCATCAATAAATATTATGCTGTTGATCATGTGTTGGGAAAAATGTCTTTCAAAAATAAGCTGAACAAGAAAAAATGTCAATGCATAGCATGCTTTTAATTTCTTATAAGAAGTTAAATATTCTGGATAAAAAGCATATTTGCAATTCTAATTAATTTTAATTAAAATTTTTCCAGCAACAACCTGCAATAGTTGTACAAAATAATGACTGTTTAGTGAATGGCCAGGCCTAATGTCAGGGTAAATGACATGAGACAGGTCAGGCACAAATCTGAATGACAGACCTATTTACACATATAAAGATCCCTATTTAACTTAGCTAGGAGAGCATTACCATGAGATGCTGCAGTAAAACAAGTTACCTATGACCATTCTCATGAAAAAATATCTGGTATCCATTTCTAAATGAGATTAGTTGTTCCTCATGAACCATGAACTCACATCAAATTAGACCCAAATAAATGAAACCCACTCAGTAAATTGTCTCAGAGAAAGATGGTATATGGGAAAGGACATTGGACTTGAAAAACACATGGCTACACATCCAGCTCTTTGCTTCTGGCTGTGTGATCTTAGACTAGTCACTGCCCTGAGCCTCTATCCCTCAGCCTTTTAACAGGAGACTATGAACTCTAACTCACAATGTTAGGATGAAGTTAATTAAATGTCTATAAACCTGTCCACCCACAATACTTTGTACATAAAAGACAATCAGCAGACATTAGCTGAATTAAGTTAAAATACTAAGTGAATTTTCTTTTATCACTGAGATTGCAGGTTTCCTAATTTTTGAATGTGTTTTATTTGTCTCCACTTAGGTGATAAATCTTTGGAGAGAATGAGTCTTCTCTTACTCATTTTTTAACCCCCTTAGCAGAATTTCAAACACGAAGTAGTTCAAACACTTCTTGATAAAAGTCAAAGGGCAACTAAAATTGTACTCAAATAGAGGTGCTCTGAGGACAATGAAAATGGGTGTTTCTTAGAATGAATATATGAACTACTTGCTATGGATTCAATATGTATATTCTCCCCAAATCCATATGTACAAATCCTAACCCCCAAAGTGATGATATTAGGAGATGGGGCCCTTGGGAGGTGTTAGGTCATGAGGGTGGACCCCCTCATGAATTGGATTAGTACCTCTATAAAAAGACACTTCAGACCTTGCTTTTTCTCTCTATTATCCATGTGAGGATATAATGAGAATATAGCAATCTGTAACCATTAAGAGGACCCTCACCAGAACTTGATCATGCTGACACTGTGATCTCAGATTTTCAGCCTCCAGAACTGTGAGGTATACATTTCTGATGTGGATAAGTCACTCAGTACATGGTATTTTAACCCAAATGGACTATGACCCTCTTCTATTAAAGGAAGTACAAATACTTCCTCCTAATATTTAATTCAATGACTGCATCTGAGCTGCACTGAAAGTCTAAAAATAGTACCCACAGCTGTGTTCCCATGGCCAGAGGGTTCTCCAGGCATTATCCTCCTATCCTTCACCGAGAGCTATTGCACTCTCATCTATGTTCTGCTTTTAAGGACTTCCCAATGCTTACAGTTAACTTCTCCGCCCTTTCAACTGAAAACTCTATTGCAAGGTTTATCTCTGTTGTATATTGGAGGAAGATCTTACACGCGTGACTCTTTATTATAAAAGTTATGTTTTTATTTGTGTGTTTACTCAGATTTTTAAAAGTGAGAGGAAATTGTATAAATATTGCATTCCTCAGTCTGTAGAGGCTTCAGTTCCTCATAGACTCTGTCTCCCCTTTGGAGCCTCTACCTATTTCATTAGCACAGCAGTTCTCAACCTTCTTGGTCTTAGGGCCTTTAAATTATTGGGGGGCCAAAGAGCTTTTGTCTATGTAAATTATATTTATCAACATTTGCCACGATAGAAATAATACTAAGTTTTAAAATATTAACACATTTTAAAATACCAAATCACAAACCTATTACCTGTTACATAGTGATACTTTTTATAAAAATAACTATATTTTCCAAAGAGAAAAGTGAGAAGAGTGGCATTGTTTTACAAATTTTTTTTTTTTGCAAATATTTTTAATGACTATTTTAATAGAAGACAACTGGATTCTTATGTCTGCCTTTGCACTCAAACTGTTCTCATATAACACATCTTGTAAACTTTGTCAAACTCCTGTAAACATTTGTATAAGAATTAGAATAGAAAAGCCAAAATGGTAGAATTGTGAAAATGGTTTTGAGCTTGTGCATCCTGTAAAAGAGTCTCAGGGACCCCACAGGATTCAGGACCACACTTTGAGAACCACTGCAATGAGATCTTGCCTAGCTTTCCAAGTAGCCTCCAACTAGCTTCTCCTGGTGCTCATACTCAGGACGTCCATCTGCCAAATCACCACATCAGTGAAATACACATGCAACTGGCATGAAGTAATACAATCAAAATATCGTGTTTTTTTTAATCCTACATTTATTCATGAAGGTAGTTTCTGCCCTATCACTGGGTCAAGTCAGGCCAGTTCATTAACTTTTTCTCTTCTCTCTTAGGTAACAGAAAGTTCTATGGTGCTCCAAGTTGCAGAAACAAAATCTCAAGTGGTGCTTGGAAAGTCTATACCCTTCAAAGAGTCCATTTACAACTTTATTAAAAGTCCTGGGACTTGCCTTTCTCTCAGTGGGAGCAGTTTTGCCTGTCTTCACTTTTTGACCTATGTTGATAACTCTAGACCCCACTCCTCTAGAGCATGTGCGTGTGTAGGGGTTGGGGGAGGGGGGATGTAGAGAGGATGGTGGAGGAAGGCTGGTAAAGCAGTCAGGAAATGTATGACTTCATTGGCACTTTCAATAAAAACATTGTGTTTTTCCTGTGCCTAGCAGAATTTTAGAGCTGGATCTTTGTCTCATGGATGCTCTTAGGAGACCCACCAAGCACCAACCCCTGATATTGCAACTGGACCCCTTGACCTGGATGAATGTATTCTTTTCAGCAACCATATGCTCCCTCCTGTTACCAGGTAAGGTAAGAATCAATTCCTCTACCTAGCAGCTCTGCTGGGTGAAATATCAGGAGATCCCACCCAAGCTTTCTCTTGCATGTAGCCTATATCCATCATGGGAGCACAGGCTAATCCTACAGTTGGCCAGCCTCTTGTCCTCTGGATATCCTGGGAGCAAATCCCAGTGAAGGAATCTCCAGTGGTTCCCTGAAGCCCTTTGTGCTAGGCCTGAGGTGAGACAGAACTGCCCCATCTTATACTCAGGAGACCTGGGAGGACTCACAGTGCACCACCGTCCTCAAAACTTCTCTCTCCCTGTAGGCGGCTGTGGTCTGAATCTTTGTGTCTTCCTAAAATTCATATGTTGAAATCCTAACCCCCTAGGTGATGATATTAGAAGGTGGGACCTTTCAGGAGTTGACTAAAACATGGGGGAAAAGCCCTCACAAATGGATTAGTTCCCTTGTAAAATAGGTCCAAGGAAACTTGCTCACTTCTAACACCATGTGAGGACACAGCGAGAAGGCACCATCTATAAGCCAGAAAGCAGTCCCTCACCAGACATAGATCTGCTGGCACCTTGATCTTGGACTTCCCACCCTCCAGAACTGGGAGAAATAAATGTATATTGTTTATAAGCAACACAGTTTATGGTATTATATCATAGCAGCCCAAATAGACATTGTATTTCCTCAATGTTGGTTTAAGAGTTGTCTAAACCAGTTTCCTATTATTATACTGTGGATGTTTCTAGCTCTCAGTATAGCATTCCACCTCTTTTCTATCTCTAGTGACTTAGTCAAAGCATCTAGTTGAACACCCTGTTATTTAAAGAAACCAGCATTCACTGGCTGTTCCCAGTTCCAGGGACTCAGGTGGCTTCATAATTTGTCTTGTTTCCTTGCACTTAGGAAAAGTACTGACAGCTCGTAATTGGTTGTATTTCTTAGGATATTTGCATTTAAACTAGAAGTAATGCTTTATTTTCTTGGTATAATTTGTCTTACATTTTTGAAAGTAATAGCTATTCATTAAATTACATTTGAAAATGTAGGAAGAAAGAAAAAAATTGTCTATAGTTCTACCACTCATATAAAACCACTATTCACATATGTGTACTTTCCTCTATTAACCTTTCAAAGCATGTCTCAATTTTAATTGTATTCACACAAATACAATTTTATATCATACATTTTACTTATTAATATGCTATTAGCATCACCAATGTCAATATAAACTCCATGTAAACATCAATTTAATGGTTGCAAAGTATTATATCAACTGGATATGCCATGGATTATTTAATCACTGTATTTATTGTTAAATATTTGCATTGTTTACACTGTTTAGTATTGAAAAACATGCTGCAATAAATATCTTTGGATACTTTTTTCTTTATTTTGGGTTATTTCCTTAGAATATATTTCTGGATATGGAGTCACTTAGTAAATGAACATGAAAGATTTTAGGATACACACACACATTTATGTGCATATACACACACTGTTTTGCAAAAAGCTAACATATGCCTATGTTCATGGCCTATCACAATCATTGATCTGTGAAATCTCACATTCTTTATTGATTGATTTCTTTTTATTTACAATCTTAATTTTCATCCCCCTCATCTTCATCATAGGACCCCAGTCTAATTTGCTTAATATATATCTCTCTATTTGTACATCATCATATTAGCAAGAATTTTTGTGTGTACGTACTGTAAATGCACACAAATGATGATGTTGTGCTATGGATCTCCTGGTGTTTCTCTTTTTTTCACCTAGCACTGGGTTTTTAAGATCTGTTTACACCACAGATCCATCTCAGACGACTGAGTGCTGCCTGATTTGCTTCTATGCATCCATTATGTTATACTTCTCTAACTAGTAGACTTCCCTGGACTGTATCTAGCTCTGCACTACAACAAACAGTGCTGCTATAATTTTCCCTGGTCCTTGCCACCTCATGGGTAAGGTGTATATACATGAGAATGCTAGGCCATAAGACATACATACACCTATCTGTACTAAGTACTGCCTGATTGCTTTCCAGAGTGATTCTTCCAGTCTGTGTTCTCAGCAGCTGTGCATATGAGTCTCTGTAACCACAATTCCCATCCATACTTGGCGTTATCCATTTTCCTGATTTTCCCACTCTGGCAGTTGGAAAGTGATATCTCGTGGTTGTTTGCATTTGTATTTCCCTAAATACCAGTGAGTTTGAGCATCTTTTCATATGTTTGTTAGTCGTTTGTGTTTCTCTAATCTGATTTGCCTGTTTGTATCTTTGTCCATTTATCTGACAGGGTTTTCATTTTTTTCTCATTATCATAAATATTAATAATGTATTTTACATTTTTGATAGAATTTTATATTTTTTTTGAGCAAATCTTGTGGTTCTGTTTAATAGGATGATTCACAGATCTTTTTGTTATATCTACGTTGAATGTACATATTGTAAATTGGTGATAAATTTATTTTTTGATAAATGCTATTAATTTTTATATATTGATTTTATTCCAGTAGTCTTGGACCTTTCTTTTTTGTTTCTTAACTTTGTCAGTTCAATCATATTTTTTAAAAAATAAAGTCTGCACATTGGAGACTGAGGCAGGTGGATCACAAGGTCAAGAGATCGAGACCATCCTGGCTAACATGGTGGAACCCCGTCTCTACTAAAAATACAAAAAATTAGCCGTGCTTGGTGGCATGTGCCTGTACTACCAGCTATTCAGGAGGCTGAGGCAGGGGAATCGCTTGAACCCAGGAGGTGGAGGTTGCAGTGAGCCCTGCTCACGCCACTGCACTCCAGCCTGGGTGACAGAGCGAGACTCTATCTCAAAATAAAATAAATAAATAAATAAATAAAGTCTGGTTTTTCCCCTAGAAATTGACAGAAGCTCTTTAGAAATTGGGAAAATTAGCTCTTTGCTTTAACAAGGCAAATGGCTTATTAGCCCTTTGTTTGTGAATGTGTTACAATTATTTTTGCCTATATTTTTGGTGATTTTGCCATACCATTATGAAATAGAATGTATCAATGTTTTATTTTGTATCCCGCTTACAAAGGCCCTAAGAAATTATCTTGTGCTTTATTCTAGTAGGTTTATATTTTCATTAATTCAGATTTAAATATTTAATTTATTTGCAGTTTATACTGTTATAAGAAGTGAAGTATAGATCCAAATTTATTATCATATTGGCTGCACAGTTGAATAAGCCCTCTTTCCCTATGGATTTGAAATGTCCTATTTATCATATTCTACATTTTTTCATCTATATGTGGGTCTATTTCTTAATTTTATATTACTTGTCATTGGTCTGTGTTTTAATGCTTTAGGTTTAGGCCATAAAAATTACTGTAGCTTTAGTTATTATTTTAAAAGCCAGTAAGACTGATCATCCCTCAGGATCTCCTTTTCACAATTTTCCTGCATAATTTTACTTAAATATTTTATTTCATTTTATTTGTTTTACTACACTGACTAGAACATCCAGTATAAGATTAAATAGAAACCATGTTAACAAGTACTTTCATATTGTTGCTGATATTAAAGAAAGAGCTTCTAAAGTTTCAACATTAAGTATAATGTTTACTGTAGATTTTTGGTAGCAATTCTTTATTAAGCTAAGGAAGTTCTTTTTATTTTATTTTTTTATTTTATTTTTTTTTTTGAGACAGAGTGTTGCTCTGTCATCCAGGCTGGAGTGCAGTGGGGCAACCTTGGCTCACTGCAAGCTCCACCTCCTGGGTTCACGCCATTCTCCTGCCTCAGCCTCCCGAGTAGCTGTGACTACAGGTGCCCACGACCACGCTGGGCTAATGTTTTGTATTTTGTTTAGTAGAGACGAGGTTTCACCATGTTAGCCAGGATGGTCTCGATCTCCTGACCTCGTGACCCGCCCGCCTCGGCCTCCCAAAGTGCTGGGATTACAGGCGTGATCCACCGTGCCCAGCCGGAAGTTCTTTTTATTTCTACTCTTCACTACACACCAACCACAAAGTAAAGTTGAAAAGACTGACAATACCAAGTGCTGCTGAGGATGTGACATCCCTGGATCTCACATACATGGTTAATGGGCATTTAAACTGATAACAATAGCTTTGGGAAGTTTCTGCTAAGCTTGGAAATACTCACACATCGTGACCCAGCAATTTCATTCAGTTATGGATCCTAGAAATGTGTACACAGGTGTAACAAAAGATGTGTACAAGAATCTTAAAAGAGGGGTTATTACTCATAGCAAAAGACTGGAGAAAACTCAAATCTCCAACAGTACAGTAGACAAATAATTTGTGCTGTATTCATATAGTAGCATGCTCTACGGCAATAAAAGTCATTGAATTGCTCTTGCATGCAACAATATGATGAATCTCATTAACATAATGCTGAACAAAAGAGTACATAGTACTCTGTTTACATCAAGTTTTTAACATAACAAAACTAAGCTATGGTGTTATATATAAAGATAGTGGTTACTTTTGGACAGAACATAGTAAATAGAAGAAACATTAAGGGCCCCTCTGAGGTGCTGATCACATTCTGTTTCTTAATCTGGGTGGTAATTATATGGCTGTGTTTTTATTTATTTAGATACGCTTTTAAAATATTTAAGTTTGTTGAATGAATAATTCAATACATGAAACAATGAAATCCAGTGTAAATTAAATTGAAAAAGACTCTTGTATTAGAAATGAAGAAATATGTTTGTTTTGTTTTGTTTCATTTTTGCCTCGTTCTCCCTGTAATAAGCTATGAGATCTTTCATCAAGTCACTTTTCCACTTTGGACCTCTATTCCTTATTTCTCAAAATTGGAGACTGAATTAAATGATCTTTAAATATCCTCCAAGTTCTAAAAGTCTATAAGACCTGTTTCAGATGTTACTTACATTTATAATTTTTATGAACTTTTATTGAAATAACTGGTGTCTTTTGTAATCCTTTATATTCATTAGGCAGCTTCCCATTATCCCTTGGCTTTCCTAACAGCTTCCCATATGATCCTATTAATACAAACTGCCTGTGCCAATCAATAACTATTTTTCTCATTCTAAGTTAGCTATTTTCTGGTTTATACATCCATTTTTAAAGAATATCTTAGTCCATTCAGGCTGTTATTAAAATAGCAAACTATCATAAACTGGGTAGCTTATAAACAACAGAAATTTATTTTTCATACTTTGGAGGCTGGGAAATCCAAGATTAAGGCTGTGACAGATTGGGTGTCTGGAAAGGACCCTCTTCCTCATAGACACCTGTCTTCTCACTCTAACCACAAATGGCAGAAGGATTGAAAGGTATCTCCAGGGACTGTTCCATGTAGAAACGAATTCCATTCATCTCCCCAAAGGCCTAATCACCTCCCCAAAGTCCAGCTTCTTAACATCCTCACTTTGGGGTTAGAACTTCAACATAGGAATTTTAGGAGGACATAAACATTCAGAACATAGCAGAGAGTATGCTTGACACAAATCTTTCCCCATATATTTTTGTACCTACAAAACTGAGAAACAGCTCTAGTGACTCTGTCTAAATGACCAGCTTGTTTTGTTAGAAGACCACATTCTGGGCCATAAGGGAAATCAATGAGAAGAATTCCAAGTCTTTCACTGATGGTTCTTGATCAGGTAGGATTGAAGACACCAGTACTATCCTACCCACTATTCCCGTGACAAAAAACTATTAGCTATATGCCATTAACCACTCTCCCTGTCTATAGTAAGAGCAAGTCTAATATTGAGTTCTCTACACAGCTTCCAAGAATAAACACTATTTATCTTGCATCTTGGTGTGACTAGGTTCTGAAAAATGAGGTGTAAACAAGAGTGATGTTCGGTTTCCTGCCTGGGCCCTGGAGGGATGAGGTGTGCCCCTCCCAACTCTATTTTCTCTTTCCTGCTGGCTGGCATGGGATGAAGTACTGTACAATTTACGACTTTGTAGACAAAGAGAAAACTCTGGGAATGTTCGAGAAACTGGATCAAAAGGAGCCTGGGCTCCTTAGAGATTCAAAGCCCACAGCTGCCATCTCCATGGCATCTTCAGCCTTTTTGGAAGAAGCAAATAAATTTCTGCCTTGTATATACCACTGTTATTTTCCATTTTTGTCACAAGGTACTGAAACTATATACTAACCAATATACTCCTTAAATGTGTTACTGGAACCATTACTAGTGACTTTCTATAACATGCAGATTGAACTAGACAACTGCACTATCCTCTTTCCTAAAGTTTTTAAGTTTAATGTTAACATTCAAGACAGGACTATTCTTCCTCTCTTCTTAACTTGGCTCTGTATCTTGTAAGAGGCCAAACATTGTAAAAAAGAAAATTCAGCGTTGGGACTGATACTCAAACTGACCTTGAGATACTAACAAATGAGT